GTTTGAGAAAGAATCTCACTATGTAGCTGTGGCTAGCCCGAGAATCACTATTTAGACCCGGCTGACCTTGAACTCATAGTCAGACTGCCTGACTCCTAAATTTCTGGGATTACACCATGCTCAGCCTAGGCCATTTTTAATTAACTTATTAATTCAACTGAGTACATTTTAATTATTGAATTGTAAGAGTTCTTCAGAGTTTTCATCCCAGCCCTTTAGCACCCGAGAGAACTACTTAAAAAGAATGGATTTGTTTTCACTCACGCCCAGCCCAGAATAAGCTTCCTCTACTGCCGTGGGCCTGTGACGAGGCAGACCGTCATGGTGGAAAGAACACACTCTATGGAAACTTGCTTATTTCATGGTGGTTAGGAAGCAGTAAACAGAACAGGAAAGGGCTGAGATGCACCTTCCAAAAGCTAACTCCTTCCTCAAACCAGGTTCTTCCTTCCACTGTTCTGCTACTTATTTTTTTTTTTTTTTTGAGACAGGGTTTCTCTGTGGTTTTTGGAGCCTGTCTTAGAACTAGCTCTTGTAGACCAGGCTGGTCTCGAACTCACAGAGATCCGCCTGCCTCTGCCTCCCGAGTGCTGGGATTAAAGGTGTGCGCCACCACCGCCCGGCCTGTTCTGCTACTTATTAACAGCCCATTCAAGATCTGGATCTCCCCGGACTGGGGAGGTAGCTCAGTTGGTAGATGCTTGCCTAGCATGGCGCACATCCTGGGTTTGATCCCCAGTGCTACATAAACGGAGCATGTTGGCATAGACCTATAACCGTCAGACTCAGTGGAGGTCGTCCTTGGCTGTCTGAGATGTCGGCTCAAAAAGAATTTAATCTATCAATGAATTAAACCATCACTATGCCAAAGGTCTCCCATCAATTTATCTACGGAAACTTCCTTGCATGCCTACTCACAGCCCTGCCTGGCTGGTTTCCTAAGCACCTCTCAACCCATTGAAGCTGTCGGTCAAAATAGACCACAGTAACCGCCTTTGGAATTGGCCAGCAATGTCTTTTCAAGCGCAGGACTGTCTAGTTTTGATGCAGTCTTGCTGAGAGCTCACACTCTACACTCGGTTTTCCATAACTGTGCCGTCACAACAGCACCCCACTTCACTTCTGTTCCTATGCGGTGGTGAACTGCTGTGACCACGTGGATCTGTGATAAAGTCATGATAGACACAGAGAGTTCTCTATTAAGTGGATCTAGCTGGATCTTTTTTTTAAATATTTATTTATTTATTATGTATACAATATTCTTTCTGCGTTGTGCCTGAAGGCCAGAAGACGGCACCAGACCTCATTACAGATGGTTGTGAGCCACCATGTGGTTGCTGGGAATTGAACTCAGGACCTTTGGAAGAGCAGGCAATGCTCTTAACCTCTGAGCCATCTCTCCAGCCCTCGAGCTGGATCTTGAGCAGGACCAGCTTCATCTACTCGGTCTTGAAATAGGGGCTTTCTTAAAGAATTAAATTTTTGGCCGGGCAGTGGTGGTGCACGCCTTTAATCCCAGCACTCGGGAGGCAGAAGCAGGCGGATCTCTGGGAGTTCGAGGCCAGCCTGGTCTATCTACAAGAGCTAGTTCCAGGACAGGCTCCAAAACCACAGAGAAACCCTGTCTCGAAAAACCAAAAAAAAAAAAAAAAAGAATTAAATTTTTTTCTTTTTTTTTTTTTTCTTTTCTTTCTTTCTTTTTTTTTGGTTTTTCGAGACAGGATTTCTCTGTAGCTTTGGAGCCTGTCCTGGAACTAGCACTTGTAGACCAGGCTGGCCTCGACCTCACAGAGATCTGCCTGCCTCTGCCTCCCAAGTGCTGAGATTAAAGGTGTGCACCACCACCACCCAGCTAAGAGCACTAAGCATTAATGTCCCTTGAAATTCAAGGCTAGACCATACGACAGAGTGAGTTCAAGCCAGCCTGGAGCGCTTAGTGGGTTCCAGGCCCAAAATAAAGTCAAAAGACTGGGGGTACATCTCAGGGGTAGAACGCCTGTCTAACATGTATGGGGTTCTAGTTCCCATTCCTAGTGTTATAGTGAAGGGGAAAAAAGCAGAGAAGGGGGAACGGAGGAAACAGGACCATGGAGCAGAGAAAAGGAGAAGGACAGTGCCCCAGTAGGACTCCCCTAATTGTACAGCTGTGAGAACCCCCACTGGCATGACATGGGGGTCCCCCTCAGCCTCCTGCACTGTGGGGTGCAGCCCCATAGTGAGTACTCAGCACGCCGGAAAATCGGATGCCTGGTGTGAATCTACCCTTACCGTATCCTGTAGTGTGGTCTAGCCCAGGCAAGTTATGTTACCTTTTTGTGTCTTGGTGATTTCATCTGTCCTCCTAGAGATGGTGTGAAGATTAAATAGGACCGGGGAAGACTCAAACGTAAAGTCTTGGCAAGTCACCATGGCGGCTCCCTGCTGCTTCAGTAGTCAAGGTAGCAAAGGTATCCAATCTCCCTTGCTGAATGGCCTGCAGCACTAGCTACTAGAGGCCCCATGGCTTTTGCTTTGTTTGTTTTGGTGAGAAGATCTGGTAGGGCCAGGTAATGAAGTGACTCACTTGGGAAGAAGAAGGCAGGTCTGTTTGCTTTGTGACCTCTGGCCCAGTCCCTGGCTGCCTCTGGACCATACTGTCTGTCTATGTTGTGGAGGTCAACCAGCAAGCAACCTGGGGCTGTTTGAATCTGTGTCAAGGAGCAGGCGAAGGGGCATCAAGGACATCTTTGGAGCAGTCAGGCACAGAGATGGTGGTAGCCTGTTTAAACAACTCCCACAAATTACCATTCACAGATTGTAGCAGCCAGAGCCCCATCTCCATCGGGTACCTCGACTGTCAGAGCTGAACCATACTCATAATCCAGTTTCTCTGAGACAAGGGTGTGTGAGTAGCATGTTACTAATTCCTACTTGACAGGAAGGAGGGGAAGAAATCAATCCAACATCACAAAACTCCCGTGGAGTTGGGTTGGACCCATAATCTCAGCTCCCAGGGCACTGTTCTTCCCCAACATCCAGAGAACATGGTGGCCGTTGCCCAGATCTCCCTAGCAGCTGTGCCTTACTTGGCTAGGTGCTAGCTCAGCAGAGAGGTATAAGGATAGGGGCTCCATTATTCTGACTCCAGTCAGAAAAGCTTTGGGGAGAAGAGGCGATAGGATCTTATATTGCTATTTCCTGGTTCTGTGAGCCTGAATGGGGGTGAAGGAGCAGAGGAGGTTTGTTGAATGACCAAATTTATCATATGTATTTATCTATATATGTATAGATATACACATGCATATATGTATATCTATGTGTATCTATATGTATATATGTATAGGTATGTATATATATGCATTGGTTTTTCAAGACAGGGTTTTTCTGTGTAACAGCCCTAGCTGTCCTGGAACTAGCTCTTATATAGCTCAGGCTGGCCTTGAGCTCACAGAGATCTGCCTGCCTCTGCCTCCCAAGCGCTGGGATTAAAGGCGTGCCCCGCCACTGCCTGGCTATCTTTTATATTTTTTAAAGCTCATTGACTCTTAAATCTTGAGAGCTGGTGATAACTTGTGAGTCTCTCCTGAGTTCTAGGTATCAGGCATACAGGAGATGATCAACAAATATCTTTCTTTTTTTTTTTTTTGATTTTTGTGTGTTTGTTTGGTTGGTTTTAGATTTTTTGTTTTGTTTTGTTTTGTTTTTCCTAGACAAGACCTTACTACGTACCCTTGGCTGTCCTGAAACTCACTGTGTAGATCAGACTGGCCTTGAACTCAGAGATCTGCTGGGATTAACTTCACCTGGTTTCAATAAATATTTATAAAAATATAACACACACACACACACAAAAGTAAAAACAAAAAAAAAAACAAACAAAAAACCAAACAGGCTTAGTGGTACATGCATTTAATCCTAGCACTCAGGAGGCAGAGGCAGCAGATGGATCTCTAAGTTCAAGACCAGCCTGGTCTACAGGGTGAGTTACTGGGCAGCTGGAGCTACGTAGTGAGATCCTGTTTCAAAAAACATAAAAAAAAAAAAAAAAAACAACCAAACCCTATTCTCTCATGAATGAGGAAAGCAGAAACTAGGGGAAGGAGGTCTCGGTGGTTAAGAACACCTGCCGCTCTTCCAGAGGATCTGGGTTTGAGTCTCACCCACATGGCAGCTCACAGCTGTCTTCAATTCCAGTTCCAGGGGATTCCATACCCTCTTCAGACCTCCTTGGACACCAGATCAAACACGTGGTACACACATGCAAAACACTCAAACATGTAAAATAAAATATTGGAAAAGAAGAAACAAGGGTGATGGAGAGAACGGAAAACTGCCGCCCGGTGTGAGAGAAACCTGGCGCTTGGGCTTTGCAGAGGGCAAGCGTTCTGCAGGTGGATGGTGGATCCAAGTACCTGGACAACGATAAGGTTTATGTTGCCCGTCCGTTGCCATAATTAAAGACGAAAAAGTGAGATAGCTCGATGGGTAAGGGAGCTTACCCCCGAGGTAAACCTCAGAACTCACTGGTGGAGGGGCACAGCTGGTGTGTTCTGATCTTCACAAGCACCCCAGACACACCCACCCACCACACACTGTAAATAATTATAATAAGAGATCGAGAAGAGGAATCTTATTAAAAATCAATACATTTCTACCTTGAAGAAGCAAAATGAAACATGACCCTGTCTGAATGAGGGCTGTCAGGGAAATAGGGGAAAGGTGAACCCTGCGTGACTTCTGTTCACCTCAGCAACTAGAAGTAAACAGGATTGGGCTGTGCCAGTCAGAGGATGCTGCAGACACGCCCACCCCAACCCGGCGAGCTCACTCGTTAGAGGCCAGGCAGGTGGACCAGGGAGGGAAAACTCTTTAAGACGAGTTTCCACTGGTGGTGTGTCCTTTATGCAGTGTCCTTGGACTCTCACAAAGCCTGGGAGCGATGTCAAGTCAGTGAGGCCACAGGACAGAGTCAGTTATACAACCTCGGTTCATACCAAGAGCAAAAATAGCCACCAGATCTCAAAGCTCACAGTGTGCCAGGGACCTGCCAAGTGTTCTCTGGGCTGTATCCCGTTTAATCCTCACCAGAGCCCGTGAGGTCACTGCTGTGGGGGTCTTCATTGACAGATGAGGAAACTAAGTCACAGGCTGGGTAAGTGATTGGTTCAGCTATTCAAAGAGCCATGGGCAGGGGCTGTGGAAGTGGTGCTCGAGAATCTTGTTTTGAGACAGAAGCACGTGTAGCCCCTGGCGACCTTGATCTTCTGACCCTCCTGCTGTCCTCCAAGCTCTGGGAGTCAATGCGTGAACCACCATGCTAGGTGCTGGATGAAACCTAAGGCTCCGGGCATGGCAAACACACACTCAGCCACACTCCCAGCCTGAGACCCGAGTCTTGTGCTCTGAAATCTGTGCCTCGCCACGTTTCCTTCCTGCCATTCTGCTCACAAGAGGCTGGCATGTTTCAGGGAGTCGGCTGCTGCTCCTAAAGCCACTGGTGGGAGAGTGAAAGCTGAAATTCAAGCCTCTGCTTTCTAGAGTAGTGGCCCTTCCATCGAGCAAGGCCCTCCTGGGAGTGAGGAGTTCAAAACTTCATTACCCAGAGTCCTTCAGCCTTAGTGGTAGCCATCTTGACAGTGTGGTGAAGATGCCTGCACAGAAATTCTCAGCTTGTTTACCCAAGTCCTCTTCTCGTATGTCCAAGATAGGGCTTCTTTCTTTCTTTTTTTCTTTCTTTCTTTCTTCCTTCTTTCCTTCCTTCCTTCCTTCCTTTCTTTCGTTGTTTGTTCGTCCCTCCCTCCCTTTTTCCCTCCTTCCTTCCTTCCTTCCTTCCTCTCTCTCTCTCTCTCTCTCTTTCTTTTTTCCTTCCTCCCTTTCTTTCTCTTTTGGTGTTTCAAGACAGGGTTTCTCTGTTTAGCCCTGGCCAACCTCAAACTCAGAGATCCACCTGCCTCTGCCTCACAAGTGCTGGGATTATAGGCATGCGCCAACATGCCCAGCTTGTTTTTTTGCGACAGGGTGTCTCTGTGTAGACCTGAATGTCCTGAAATTGCTTGGTAAGTTTCAGGGTGGTTTTGAACTCAGAAATCTGCCTGCCTCTGCCTTCTGAGTGTTGGGATAAAAGGCATGAGCCACCATGCCTGGCTAAGGGACCACCCTAGTTCTGGGGGACCCCAGCTGGATCGGGAACCTTCCAAGCCCAGGGTTTTGGGGATTGTGACCAGGATGGCCTCAGCCCTGCAGAGGAGGTGAAAGCGGGCGTGCAGTGCCCAGCTGGCAAGCGAGGGTCTCTAAAACTTCGCTCCCATTTTGTTCTTCATACCCTCTTTGTGCAGCCCGTTGCTGGAGTCTGGGTAAGTTCTAGGGCCCTTGCTCCTGGCTTATCCAAGCAGACTGCTAAGGCGAGGAGTCCCTCGTGAGACCAGCTAACTGAGGGAATTTCCTGGCTAGGCATAGGCATGGTGGTATATGCCTATAATCCCAGCATTGCAGGGCTAAGGCAGGAAGGTCACCAGTGTCAGCCAACATGGGCTACATGGAAAGACCCTGTGGCAAACAGGGCAAACAAAACAATGGAAAAGGAAATCCCCGAGAAGAACCCAGAACGGTGCTGGGGAAGCAGAGCAGGGCAGGACAGGGCAGGGCAGGAGAGGACGCTAAGCAGAACAGTTACTGAGCAAGGCCCAGAGCCTCAGTCTAACCCCAAAGGGGACCCTGGAATGTGGCTTGTGCCCTAGAGTTCATTCCAGCTTAAGTGAGACAGCAGCTTTTTTCCTTCTTGGCTGAAGGTCACCAGGCCTTTGCCATATCCTGAGTATCAAAAGTGGCTTCAGTGGTCCCAGTAAGCCAAAGTGATCAGCAGGATTGGACACATAGAACTGAATATTTAGCAATCGAAAAAGAAGTCTGAAGGTTGGGGATATAAATTTTAGTGGCAGAACATTTGCCTGGCATGCTTAGGACCCTGGGCTTAACCTCCAGCACCGTGGAATTCCAAAAAGGGCTCGAGGGAGTCTGCTGGAACATGCCACCATCCCCTGCACCACCCTGAGACTCACCCTTGACACTTCAGGGTTCTGGTCCCTACTAACAGCACTGGGCTGGTTGAGAAACGGGTGAAGAGTCCCTAGAAAATGGGCTCCTCGAGCATGGTGTTGAGTTGGAACACCGGGGAGGGGTACAGGGCCGTTGGAGCCCCCCAAAGAACCAGTTTAACAGTTTGGAGGAACTAAGGGGACCCCACTGTTACTCACACATAGTCATGCACACTCCTATTCCTAAGGTACAGGAGCACACTCAAGTGTGCACACTAGTGTGCAGAGACGTGCATCCAAGACGCCTGCCCACTCACATGCATGCTTGTGCACAGCAGCTCTTGCTGGAGCCTCCACAGACCCGAGTACACATTTGAACCCATGTACCCTTAGGCTCACCTCTCACGTCAGAAGCCTGGCCAGCCAAGGCCCTTTCCATTCCTGATTCCTGAAGTTGCGGATGGTGGTTGGATGATATGGGACAGGTGGTAGCAGGCAGTATCCAGACCAGAGTCAGTTGCACAAGGTCACAGAGGAATGACCTTTGACTCCGATGACCCTGATCACGCCAGCCGCAGGGCCCGGGCTCGTGTTAGTCTGGGGTTGCCTGTGAGAGCTGACAAAGTTGTCTGGAAGCTCAGCTGGTGACACTATGGCCACACAAGGCTCCGCTTCCACCTTTGACCCAGGCTTGAGAGCCAGCAAAGGACATTCTATCCCTACTGATACCCAGGCCCAGCCCTTGCCCGCCCCTTACTCAAGTAGCAAGGGAGAGCGGGAGCCTTGTCATTGATGAGCAAAGCCATCGGTGCAGAATTGGATCAGCTGGCATTGAGGACCTCCCAGTCTAGCAGAGGCCACAGGCATTCAAAGAGTGATCACTGGGAATGGCAGGAAGCAGGTCAGCAGAGGCACCTAAGGAGGGAAGTGGAGCTGGGGGAGCATTCCAGAGGCAGGGCATGTTTTCAAATGACCTGGAAGACCAAGAAGACTTGGCATCGGGTGGAAAATGTGTCTTAGGAAGAGGGGGAAATTTGTGCAAGGTGCTGGGGAAGATCCCCCGAAGAAGACATCCATCCTGACCAAAGGGGAGGGTGTGGCTGGCAGAGACAACAGTAAACAGAGAGGAGTATGGACAGCCAAGGCCCTGGGCATCCAGAGGGGTTTGCTGCAGGGGACTGGTGACACCGAATAGCACTAGAAAGCAAAGCAGCTTCTGGTTGTGCCATGGGAGGAAGACACGGGATGGCTTGGGTCAAGCTGGTCAAAGGGGGAGCTAGGGACTACTGGGCAAACTGACTGCCACATGGTCGTGGAGGCTTCGCAGGGCAACAAGGGAGAATGGGGGTGTTCTAGCAGGCAGAACAAAGGAATGCATGCGACTGGCTAAACTCTAAGCAAATAATCAAGTATAATTTTGTTTATTAGAGATCTACAAATAGAATGGGATTCTCTAGTTTTGTTATGTTATATGCATGTGTGTGTGAGAGAGTCGATGTGTGCACACACATGCACACACAGGCATATGAGTGGACACCGAAGGACAGCTCTCAGAAGTTCTCTCTTTCCACTGTAGGTTCAGAGGATCAAACTCGGGCCATCAGGTTTGGACTGCAATCTCGTCTATCTGCTAAGCCACCCCACTGTTAAAGAATGACATTCCCCTTAACTTGGGCTCAAAGTCCTAGTTCCTGCCACCAGACTGACTGCAAGCCCTCGTTGTTAACCCCTTTTCACTCACAGTCATTCCAAAGCAGGTTGTCATTTGTTAAACCTGGCCTAGACTCGTGGCAGCTTGGGGACTCCGTGTGAAACAAGGGGACTCTCCCCTCCGCTCATCATCCTGAAGCCATCTTGCCCGTATCATTGTCATTTCGACCATTACTAAGCATTACTCAGTTCCTCGGCCGTACTGGGATCGGCAAGTAAAAGACACTAGACGTATAAACATCCTGTAATGGTGACCTCTCTGGGCACGATTAACTCCGATGCGCTTCTTGAGTTGCTTTATATGCCATTGTGTGGACAACGATGTCCTTGAGATTACCCTGCGAGCTGTGGGCAGCGCTGAGATTTGAACTGGGGACTCAGAATTCCGTTCCCAGTTCTTTGAGCAGCCATTACATCCTAACATGGATGCCACGATTGTGTGGGGATGGAATATGTTGAGGGGAGTGCCAGGTCTCTATCCCCAAGAGAGGGGAATCTCAAGCTCCCATCTTCCCCTTTAACTAGTCCAGTGACTGATCAACTTGTCTAATTTGTGTAACTTCCTTAATGAGTCTAAGGATCACACAGACAGAATGAATAACTTGCCTGGCATTATAGTAAGCTAAAATATGATACCAGCAGAGTTTGTTTGAGCTGCCAAGGCACTAACAATGGATACCCAGAAAGACGTCCAACCCCCAAAGCAGCAGCCGATGATATATATTTGTAGAGAGTGTCACACCGAAAATGAAATAAAGTCCAGAGATCCAATCAGATGCAGAGAATGTGGACACAGAATAATGTACAGGAAAAAGACTAAAAGATTGGTGGTTTTCGATGCTCGGTGAAAACGTGAAATTCAGGAGTGTCTTCGTTCAAACATTTGCTCCACTGATGCTTCTCTGTGTAGCTTTACGACTACAACCGTGTACCTATGGTTTCACTTTAGAAATGTGATTGTATTTTAATACTTGTATAAAGGAAGTTTTGGTTTAGCAAAAAAAAATTTTAAAAAAAAATAAAATAAAATATGATACCAAATGCCAATCCTAGACCCTGGAACTTGTGAATGCTTATTCTGTGTGGCAAGAAAGAAAAGTTTACAGATATACGATTTATTAAGGATTTGGGGTGAGATTACACTGACCTATCAGGATGGGTTCCCAGTTCTGTCACTTGTGTCCCTTACAGATGAGATTTTTCTACCTGGGTTGTGGCTCACACACCTTTAATCCCAGCACACGGGAGGCAGAAGCAGGGGGATCTCTGAGCTCAATGCCAAATTGGTGTACAGAATGAATTCCAAGACAGCCAAGACCACACAGAGAAAGTGCCTCAAAAAACAAAGACCAAAGAACAAATGAGAGGAATTTTTATAGAAACAGAAGGCCAGAGGTGACCTTCTAGCAGAGGCAGAGAGAGTTGAAATTAGGATTATTGCTATGGAAGATGCAGAAAGGCCAGAAGCCAAGGAACACAGCTTCAGAAGATGATGAAGGACGGCAAAGAGTCAACCCTCTAAGGCCTCTGAGGGAAGTGGCCCTCCTGGAAACTTGTACAAGTGACATTACAGCCACCAGCTTCCGACTTCCACTCCACAGACCTGTTTTGTTCTCTCATGGTACGGTGCTGGAATTGAACCCAGACTCAGCAAATGTTAGACAAGCTCTACCACGGAACTACCCCATAGCTAGCTAACACGTGGTGGGGTTTTTTGGTTTTATTTTATTTGCTCATTTTGTGTATGTATATATGCACACGCCACAGCTCACCTGAGGAGCTCAGAGGACAATTCTGGAGTTAGTTCCCCCCTTTTGTCTTACAAGTCCTGGGGATCAAACTCAGGCAAACTCTTTTACTCACTGAGCCATCTCCCTAGCCCTAGTGTCTGGGCTCCGCCACGCCCCACCGACACCACACTGAGACTCAGCTCCTCTGTGTAGCCCTGGTTGTCCTGGAATTCACTCTGTAGACCAGGCTGGCCTCAAACTCACAGAGATCCACCTGCCTCTGCCTCTCAAGTGCTGGGATTAAAGGTGTGTGCCACTACTGCCCAATTAGTGTCTGGTATTTCAAGCGACCAAGCTTGTGGTTATTTGCTGAAACAGCCCAGAAAAATAACACAGCATCCCATAGCAATGTAAGTGAACTAATAATTTTAAAATAATTTTAGGTTTACAGAAAAGTAGTTAATACTAAACAGAAGGTTCCTACATACCTTCACCCTAAAATGTTATGTAACATTTTACATTATTGTATTTTAGTCACATGCACAGAGCCAAGATTGGTCTGTTATTATTATTGATTAAACGCCATACATTAGTGATTGATTTTTCTGAAGACCTCCTGCAGTGTTGGGAGCAGTGAGACCCCAGATCCTGAATTTCTTGTAAACAACTTGTTTTCCCCTGATCTAAGTGCCTACAGCTGCTCTGAGCACGAGACCTTCAGGCGTTCCTGATGGCAGGAGAGTGGTTTCTGGTGGGTTTGGCTGGGGCATGGCTATCTCTATATAAGCTGCCCCTGAACACAATAAGAGGGCATTCTTGAGGAACTCAAGGATGACCCGTGTCACTGTCTCTCTGACTGTGTGTGTTTGTGTATTTTAACCTCCAGCCCCCTTGCCCAAAGCTCGCGAACTGGGTGCCAGAACACAGAGCACAGACACGGGGGCGCGGTGCACAATACTACAGGATGCTTCGTCTTCTCAGTCTCCTTTCACACAGGAAAACCGCATTTGTCTAACTTTTTTTCCCTCGAGATTACACAGGGGTTACAAGGCTTAGGAGGAAGACCAGAGATGTAAAGTACCACGGTCATCCCGACATATCAAAGGAACATGCTATCAGCGTGGCTTATCACGGATCACATTAGCCTCAGTCACCTGCTCAAGCTAGTGCCTGCCAGGATTTTCCATATGAAGTCACTTCCCAGGCCTCCCCCACACCCAGCTCTTTGAACGTCCTACCTTCCGGAAGCAGGTGTTACATCACTTCAGTTCAACTGGGAGAGCTGAGCTCCATTTCCTTAAGGGAAGCACAGCCACACAGTGTTGGAGGAGGGTCTTTCTGAAAAGGGGACCCGCCTCTTCCTCCTTGACTCTTTATGATGGTTTGTTTATCAGCATGTGTTCAAGGATATCTTGGTTATACTTCAGGTTGGCATCTCAATGCTATGATATTATTTTCTTCGGCCAATTGTCCCTGCCATGGCCACTAAATCTTCCCATTTGGCTCCTGTGTAAGATGGCTATCATTGTGTGGGGGAGTGGGGGATGGGGGGTTATTGCTGTTTGTTTGTATGTTTGTTTTTTCTTGTTTGGTGGGTTCTGGGCTGGTCTTGATTTCCAGCACTCCAAGATGCCCCAGACTTAGGATCTGACATTTCTTCAAGTATCTCAAGAATCTCCTTTTTTTTTTATCACTTTCTTATTTTTTTTCTTTTTTTTTTATTGAGAAAAGGAGAAAAAGAAAAAAAAAAACAAGTTTCCACCTCCTCCCAGCCTCCCATTTCCCTCTCCCTCCTCCCGCCCTTCTCCCCCTCCTCCCACCCTTCTCCCCCTCCCCCCACTCCTTTCCCCCTCCCTCTTCAGTCCAAAGAGCAGTCAGGGTTTTCTGCCCTGTGGTAAGTCCTAGGTCCTCCCCCCTCTGTCCATATCTAGGAAGGTGAACATCCAAACTGGCTAGGCTCCCACCAAGCCAGCACATTAAGCAGGATCAAAACCCCGTGCCATTGTCCTTTGCTTCTCATCAGCCCTCATTGTTCGCCATGTTCAGAGAGTTCAGTTTTATCCCATGGCTTTTTCAGTCACAGTCCAGCTGGCCTTGGTGAGCTCCCAATAGATCAGCTCCACTGTCTCAGTGGGTGGGTGCACCCCTCGTGGTCCCGACTTCTTTGCTCATGTTCTCCCTCCTGCTCCTCATTGGGACCTTGGGAGGTCAGTCCAGTGCTCCAGTGTGGGTCTCTGTCTCTATCTCCATCCATCACCAGATGAAGGTTCCGTCCTGATGGGATTCCTCAGCAACTCGAATCTCCTTTCTTTTTACTGATTAATTTATTAATGCATTGATGTGTATGTGTGCGTGTGAACCTATATGTGACAATACACATATGGACGGCAGAGGTAAGCTTGTGTGAGTAGGTTTTCTCCCTCCACATGTGGACACCAAGTGACCTTATCCACTGTGCCATCACAATGGCCCTAGGACAGCCCTTCTCTAGAGAATGGTATTAGGAACTAAAACCTGGGCTCAGGGCATGCTAGCTGCTAGTGGGTGCTATTGCTTCTAGGCTCTCTCAGAAGCCATAGCTGGGCAGCTCACCTGTGTGTGCTAGCCCATATATACAACAGCATTTTATTTTCTGTATCTGTCTGTCTGAAGCGGTGAGAAAATACGATGAGTTCACATTGACTTGTCTCCTGACTACATGAATCATTCCTTCTCCAGCACTGAGAAAACTGGTTCCCGGTGACCACTTCGATGTTTGTTCCCATCTAGACGCCCAGCAGTTTCAGATACCGAGAACTTGCACCCCTGGAGGAACTTAGCATCCCCAGACACAGTGGAGGCTTGTGTCCATTCCATTCGGATGTTAGCATCCATGCAGCCTCTCCTCCATGTCCTAAGTTCTAGGGTTGCTTAAGTTTGCTCTGTCCCTAGTTTCCCTACTCTGGTGACATTTTAACATGAAATGCTAAATATGTGAAATAATTTCTGAAACAACTCTATCATCACCGTCCACAGTCCTTCTGGGAACCCCCAAATTTAAAGCACATTTCAGTTTGTTTGCTTTTGAGACGGTGCCTTTTGTCCCAGGCTGGCCTTGAACTCACAACTTCTGATCCTACTGCTTCTACTTCCCAACTGTTGGGCTTGTGGACGTGAGCCATCAACCTGACTCCATAGTTGTTCTAGTTGGTTTTCTATTGCTGCGATCAATACCATGACCAAAAGAAACTCGGGGAGGAAAGGGTTTATTTGGCTCATAAGCCCCGCTCACCAGCAATCACTGAGGGACGTCAAGGTAGGGAGGCGAGCAGGAGCAGAGTCGGGAACCATGGAGGAAGGCCGATTCTTGACTTACTTTCCATGGCTTACTCAGACTGATTTCTTCTACAACTCAGGACCGCTTGCTCGGCGATGGCACTGCCCATGGTGGGTTTGTCCCTCCACATCAACCATTAGTCAAGAAAACGCCCCGCAGATTTGCCCACAGGACAACCTGACGGGGGCAGTTCTTCAGTTGTGTTTCCATCTTCCTCGATGACTGTTTTGCGGCAGGCTGGCAAAAACTCGCACAATAAATGTTGACACTTTTGTTTATCTGTTTATGTGTATGTGCATTCTTGTTTGTGCGTGTGTTTGCATGTGCCCGTGCACTTGGCGGTCATGTGATGTCTGGTCTCTTTATCTGTCGCTCTCTGCCTTAGCTTTTGAGACTGGGCATCTCACTGAACCTGGAGTTCAACACGTCTGACCAGCGAGCCCCAAGGGTTTGCTCATCTCTACCTGCCCCCACGGTGCTGGGGTTCCAGGTGGCCCATTACCCCAGCTTTATATACGTGTTAGGGATCCAAACTATAGTCCTCGTGCTTTCTGGCTGATGCAAATCCTATTCCTTTTTTCAATTCAAAACCTTAAGCCAGGACCAGGTGGTGGGGGTGCATACCTATAACCCCAGCACTCAGGAGGCAGAGGCAGGCTGATCCCTAGCCAGCCACGGAGGCACAGGCATGTAATTCCAGCACTAAAAGGCTAAGGTAGAAGTGAAAGTTTGAGGCCAGTCAGGGCTACATAAGCTGGGGCTGCCTGCAGCCGAAGTCTTCCATCTTGTGGGTTCATGTCTGTTCACGCTCCGCTGAAGATGAGCCTGGATGTATCCGGTACCAGCTTAGCCTGAAAGAAAAAGTTCTGGTGGGCTTTGTGTAGTGGGGAAAGGAAGCCACAGAAGCTAAGAAACACCCAGACACGGTCTGTGAGAAGTCATGCTTGGAGTTCTGCAAGAAGGGTGAGTATTCCCCAGATTATCTATCTGTGGACAGCCATGCCAGGTAAAGACAGCAGGACTTGGGGGACACGGGGTGTCGGATAAGCGTGAGCAGGGTGGGGTCTTTATTAAACATCTGTGTGATGGTACACACCTTTAACTCCGGCAAGCCAGCCAGGGCTACATAGTGAGACCCCATCTCAAAACAACAACAGAAACAAACAAACAAAATTATCGATGCTCAGCTCAACCCATTCTATCTGCCCAGGTAGCCTGGCCCAGGCCCCACACCAGCTCCAGCGTCTTCGTGGCCACCTTCAACTTTGTGAAGGAGTTCCTACCTCCCTAACACTGGGGTTCTATAGGACAGCCAGCAAGGAAGAGCTAGGGACTGGTTCTCCCGGGGTTAATACTTTCAACTGCAGTCCTGGGCCCATTGTGAGGGCTTGAAAGAAGTTTGCTGAAGCTGAACACAGAGCTACCCCTCAAACCCCCTTCTTCAAGGTCTCACCCTTGCATTCTGACCATATCCTTGGCCAGTATCCCCACAGTGTCCCTCCTGTTTGTCTTTGCTCAGTTAGCAAAGCGACATCCCTCCTGCCTCCTTCTGGGTCTTAAGAAAGCCGAGCCCCCGGGGTGCGGGGGATGAGCCTTGACTCATACCGCATGGCTCTACCATGCGAACTGACCCCTGCCCTATTTGCCACCCCTGCTCAGTCATCATAAAGCCGTATCAGACAGGCTGGGCCTCGACAAGCCCTTTGCTCATCTGGGTGACGATGTCTGAGAACTTCTCCCAGGTCAAAGGGCATCCTGATTCCGGAAGAGACTCCAGGCTGTCCCCATCATTTCAGGACTTCTGACCTTCTGGTATCACGCTGATAAATCTTGTGTGAGTTTGCATGTGTGTTGAGGTGGAGGAGAGACTGCCTTCCCCCACAGAGTGGGGCACCCCAAGGGAGTCCCTGAAAGGGCCAGGAGGTGTGGGAACATGAAAAGTAGTACTTGAGCCCATTGTATGCATAGGGTTAGGGAATTCAACTGCTGAAAGCAATATTCTCCATCTCAGAGGCTCAGTCCATGCAAGGCAGCCTTTAAGCTGGACACACAAAGCCCTCCTCTGAGCTCAGGGCTCCACGCTTCTCCTGGCGTGTGCTGCCGGTGTCTGTAACATGGGGATTCTCAGGACATGTGAAAGAGGGAGAGTCCTCTTCCTCCAGTCTCCATCCTCCTCCTGTTTCCATCCTGGCAGTTTCAAGTCTAAAGGCCACCCTGCCCTCCACGCCAGCCAGGCCGGGGGTCACGGTTATCACTCCCATTCCCAACCTTTGCTCAGATCCACTCCACCCATCTTCAGGCTTTCCTCCTTGGCGAGCTGTCTGTCCTGGACTTCTGTGTTTTCTAGGCAGGCTGCCTCGTGCCACAGCACAGGGGGCAGAAGAGCCTGGTTAAATATCTGAGGACTCATTTGAGGACTCACTCCCGTACAGTGGCAGCTGTGGCTCCTTCTTGTCCTCCCACCCTAGAGGGAGTGTGAACAGAATGACTCACACCTCACCAACAGAAGGAGGCAGCGTAGACTCGTGTGACTCAGGTCATAAAGGCAGGTGGCCCCTCTTCCCCCACTCGCTGGCTCTAGGAGAGGCCCAGGCCCACTTGGTAAGGAACAGAGAGCCTCTTATCAGTCATGTGAGTGAGGGTGCAAGGCTTTTTTTTTTTTTTCCGAGTCAGTGTCTTGCAGCCCAGGCTGACCTTTTAATTACTTTAAATTGATTTATTTTTATTTTACGCACATTGGTATTTTGCCATGATTGTTAGGTTCCCTGGAACCAGAATTAAAGACAGTTGTGAGCTGCCATGTGAGTACTGGGAATTGAACTCAGGTTCTCTGGAAGAACAACCAGTGCTCTTAACCACTGAGCCATCTCTCCAGCCCAAGACACTGTATCTTTAGCACAACTTCTCCAGATTGTTCTCTGGTTCCCTCTGAGGCCAAGACCAGCATGAATCGCCTGGCACAATGGAAGGTCATGGAAGGATTTTGAGTCGGGAGCGTAGCATCAGAGGGAGGGAGGGAGGGATGGAGACAGGTCAGAGACACCAGGTCGACCGGGCAGAAAAGGGGGGCGTTCTGCCATAGGTTTTTACTTTTAAATCTTTGTAGAGAGTGTGCAAAGATGGACACCAGAACTCTCCAGCACCATTGGTGATAGGACAGCCCTCCTCTTCACACTCAGGTGGAACCTATTTCTGAGTCCCGACCTTGTGATCATTTAGATGCAAGGCGTGCGGTAGAATTGGCACTGCATTCTGGGTAGTCTGGAACTCTCTTTCCTTTGGAATCCAATCAACAGTAAGGCAGTCAGGATAAAGCTGGGCCCTGTACCCTGCCATCATACCCCAGCCTCTCGTGACCCAGAACTGGGAGAAATAAAAGGTCCTTGGTGGCTCTAACTCACTGGCAGGTAGCTGCTGGTGGACCCCTAATCCCCATCTCCTTTGCCATCTTGCCCTTTCTTTGAGGCCCTACCCACGGCCACTTCCTCAAATCTTCCTTGGTCCTGGAGACACTATTCCCTTCTCTGAATCCTCTGCCTTCAGTTTCAGATGGAGCCGTAAAACAATCCCACACCAGTTCAGAATTATTGATTATAAAAAAAGAGTTATTTATTTAAGGGGAAAAACTTACAGATCACCGTCCTAAACAACAGTTCTCTGAGCACAAACAGGAAACAGTCTAGCAGCCGGAACGGGAGCCAGAAGCAAGAGAGCAGACAGACAGACAGACAGACAGACATACACGCACACACACCACACACACACACACACACACACACACACACACACACACACACGGTTCCTGCTGCTTTTTAAACTATAAGAGACCGCCCCCAAGTGGGCTGGTATCTTAAAGGCTATTGACTGAAGGAGCAGAATGCGTTCCCACAGCATTCGGATGTGATTATTTTATTTTGAGATAGGATCTCTCTACATAGCCCTGGTTATCATGGAACTCACTCTGTAGACCAGGCTGGCCTCAAACTCACTCACGGAGATCCACCTGCCTCTGCCTCCCAAGTGCTGGAGTTAAAGGCGTGCACAGCCACACCCTGCTGGAGTCTAGTCCCATGCCATCCCTTCTCAATCCCAGGAGCCTGCAGAAGGTGTCGAGTGCCCATGTAACCAAACTCTTCATTTCTATGTACTGTGCAGCCTGCCACGGAGGGCGAGATGTGACTCCATGGCTTGGGAGCCACTCACAACTTTGTGTCAGATGCTAACATTGAGCTTTAGAGGCAGATGATTTACCTGTGGTCACTGGAGATAGGTGGGGCTGGGCTGGGATCCCAGTGGAAACTTTTCCAGTGATTGTAGAAACTGCACCTACATGGAAGGGTTCTGCTTCCCGTTACAGAGGAGGGGCAGTCAGGCATTCTTCCAATCCAGCCATGCCCTGGGCTCTCCTGCAGGAGCTGGATCTCCAACCCAGGAAGCCAGGGTTTTCCTGGCCACAGTATGGCCCTACTGGGAGACACACATCCACCCATGCCATCACCTCAGACTTCCAACGTTCTGGTCTTCCCACAGGCATGTCCTTTCCTACTTGTTTCCAGGGTGAAAAACTCAGGGTGACCATTCAGGAGAAAGGATTCTACAACCTGTTGACCCAGCTTCTGAGGTGAGATCGGGGACACGGGACAAGGCTGGGGGCTCAAGCTGAGACTCCAGTCCATCCCATTGGTTGGGAGAAAGAGAAGGGAGATAAAACAGAATTGTTTCATTTATTGAAGTAACGTGTATGAAGCTGCCCTTTTGTGCCAAGACAGGGGCTGGAATTAGTTTTAACGCATGAGGAAGAGGCTCCCAGGTCATCAAGGCTGGGGAAACGGAGACTCAGAAGGATAGCAAGGAGCCCTACCCTTGATCATAGTCAAGTGGCTAAGGAAGACTGGGCTCCTTTGATATCGATGTCACAGCTTGGAGGATGCAGAGTCTGGAAAAAACATAGGGTGGATGCCAGGGCATAATTGGCTACATCTCCTCCAGCTCAGAGGGGAAGAAGGGACATCCAGCGAGCAGGATGAGGGACAAATACAGGGGAGGCCTAGGGTGCTGGCTTCTCTTGCACCGTCTCTTGAGGGTGGGGAAAGAAGAATTTTGTTCTCTTTTGCCCCTGGTTGCCCTTTGGTCATGTTTGAGCGACATTACAACCATGGGTAGAGACCTCAGCAATCATTCTCTGCTTGCTTCCTTCCCACTATCCTACCGATGGGCCAAAAGGCCAAGCAAGGACAGGGAGACTTCAGAACTTCAGCTGTAGGCACAAATCCTCTTCCATCCTGCCAGCTGTGGCTGGGTTCATAGGAATCTGGGCTGACTGTGAAAGTCCCCTCCCATCACAGCTCTCCTGCAGATTCTCGGATGCAGCTGTCCTCCAGCTTGAGGTTCTTAGCAGAACTCCAGATGTTGGTCAGCGGGAACATTGAACTTGAGCTTGTGTTCCTCAAAGAGCTTGCATAGTTCATTGATGTAGCGCTGGTGAAGCTGGTTCACCTCCCTCTCTGAGGGCTGTAGTGTCTTCGGCACCTGGATGGGCTTCCCCACTGCAAGGGACAGAGGAGGACAGGGGCCAAGAGTGAGCACCGCTGCAGTCTCAGGAGCCCCGGGAGCAAGGCTCACCCCTGTGGTCATCCTACAAGGGGTCCCACTCCTATCCCCTCCTCCCGTGATTTCAGATTCCAGATCTCCCACTCTCCCCACTTCCCCTCACTCCACGTGTGTGTTTAAGTGTAAATTCATAAGCACGCATATGCATGTGGAGGTCAGAGGTTAACCTCCGGGTACTGCTCCTCAGATGTCATCACATGGAGGTCAGAGGTTAACCTCCGGGTACTGTTCTTCAGATGTCATCATGTGGAGGTCAGAGGTTAACCTCCGGGTACTGTTCCTCAGATGTCATCAACCGTGTTTATGGACACTCAAGTCTTTCATTGGCCTGGGGCTATTTGGTTAGGCTAGGCTGGCATCTAGTGAACCCTAGGGAGCCTCTGTCTCTACTTCTTAAGTGCTGGGATTAAAACATGGGCCATCCCATCCAGATTATTTTCATAGGTACTGGGCAGTTTCTCTAGCTTGCACTTCACCAACTGAGCTATCTCCCCAACCCTCAAGTACTGAATTCTAAGGTTTTAGGACAACTCAACTTCCAGACTCTCGGTATCCTTGTAGCCAGCTTCCAATATGCTGGGCAATAGTCATTCTCTTTATTTGTGTTCTCTCCCTTAGACCCAGGCAAACAAAACCTGTCATTATCCCTGCTTGACGGGGGATACAATGAGGCTCAAAGGAGTAATTTATCCAAGTAACCAGGCGTAAGCAGCACTAGGTTTTAAACGCTGGGGGTGCACGCCTCCTCAGGGGTATGTGATTCTGAGAATTCAACATTAGAGGTGTCTACACTTCTGGAATCGGGGTGGGGTGTCTCAGCCTTCCTTCACTGCCCTATGCACTGAATGCAAAGCACCCTGGTCGTAGGGAAGAATCAGGAAGAGGCTGGGATAGCAGTGCACTTTCCTCTTAGAAATATCTCCAGAGGCAGTAGTAGCAACAACATTCAGATACATGAGGTCATTGCCATCCAACCCAGCAAGGCCTCAATGCAAGGATTACCAAACCTGTGCTCTACTCACAAATGGGTGGATGGGGAGTGGATGGGAGGATGGGTGGGGTTGAAGCGAACAGAGTTCTCTCTACAAATGTCAAATGAGAATCCAAGAACACAAAAGAGGTACACAAATATCTGAAAACTTTTGCTAAGTCTAGACACCGAAGCTCATGTTAACTTCTTACAGGGAGAGCCCCCAGAGCTAATTCAGAGTCTATTGATTATTAGTTGGCACATAAATTTTAAAACATTCTTCATCTGTACACATATGTATTTGTATGTATATGTGAGCATATGTGAAGCCCAGAGGTCAAGCATGGTGAGCATGTTCCTCAGCCATGCTTCCTATTTTTTTGAGACAAGGTTTCTCACTAAACCTGGAGCTTGCCAACCAGTAGACTGCCAGCCAGCGGCCCTACAGATCCTCCTGTTTTGTCCCTACCCCCAGGACTGGGATTACAATGCCCACTACCAGGCCGTGTGCCTTGGTTTTACCATGGGTACTGGAGGTCAAAGTCATGCTTGCTCAGAATGTCCTTACCGATCGAGTCATATCCCCATCCCGGCATAGAATTTTTAACATTTCTGTTCTCTACCTTTTTTTCCCAAGCCCCATTAGATCATCCAGATCACAAACCCTCCTTCTCCGGCCTAACGAAGGTCAGATAGATCCCAGTTACAACCTCAGCTCTGTCCCTCAAAGGCAACGTGAGCTTGTGGAAATCATTTAACTTCTTTGGGCCTCATTTAATACCATTTAGAGATAATAGTCCCTACCTCAAAGGTTGCTAGGACAAACCAAGATGGAGTATGGCAACTGACGAGTGTCTGACATTGCTGGAGGTGGTGGCACTTCTTTAATCCGAGCACTCGGGAGGCAGAGGCAGGTAGATCTCTGTGAGTTCGAGGCCAGCCTGGTCTACAAGAGCTAGTTCTAGGATTCCAGGACAGGCTCCAAAGCCACAGAGAAACCCTGTCTTGAAAAACAAACAAACAAACAACAACAACAACAAAACAAAAACAAAAACCAATGTCCAACATTGGTCCCCTGCTGTCTCTTCTCGGGAATGAGTGAGTACTCAGCCACCAGTACCTCTCACTGAGAATAAATACTCAGTCATCAGTACCTCTGTGTCTGTTACAGCTCTTATTCCAGACTGCCCCTAGCAGGATTATCTGTGTGGGGCTGTGTGGGACTGTCTAGAATGAGCCCCATAAGGATGAGGACGTATATTTCCCATCCTCAAGTACCCTGCAGCATCCAGACCCTGTTCCTGCAACCCGCCCCGGCTGATCTGCATATCAGCTCACCTACGGTGTTGATGGGCTGGCGGAAAGGCATGAAGCCGAAGCTGTACTGGAAGACACCACGGCCATGGAAGAGAGGGAGGGAGATGCCCATGATCTTCTGTAGTCGGTTCTGGACACGGCGCAGCAAGGAGCCAGAGGTGTTCTCCACTTGGTTAAACAGGTTGTTCTCCCCAAAGGAGAAGATTGGCACCAGCGCCGCCCTAGAGGGACACAGGGGAGGGAGTATAGGGGCACCCTGAGAGGCAGGGATGGAAAGGCCACCCAGCTGGGCCAGCAGCCAGAACTGGACATGCCTTGACCCTTGACCTCCAGAGAGCCTTTTCAGGTTCCCATGGGTAGACCAGAATGTCCTAGGACATCTTCCTGGGTATGAAACATTTTTACTTTTCAATAATAATAATAATAATAATCTTGTGCCAACTGGCTCGATTTCCTCAAAGATGCCCCTCCCATGATGGGTGAGCAGTTTGGCAATAAGCTCCCAGCCCCATCCTTCCAGATTCCCAAAGGTCTCAGAGCTCACACCAGGACACCCTGCCCATCGATTCCCCCGGTCTCCTTTATGGAAATGCATCTAGAAACCTGGCTGCGAGGCACCAACTTACGATTTTCACTGTATGGCCTGAGAATCTCCTTGCCCCAAAGGGAAGCTACAATCATCTTTGCTGTCTCCCCAACAAAACAGAAACCTCCAACAGCCCCACAGTGTGATTCCCCAGAGTTCCATACCCGTATATCAGGGCGAGCCTGATGAAGCCCTTCCGATTCTTCAGCAGCAGGCGGTAGGCTCCAGGCCTGGCATCCAGTGCCTCCTGGGAGCCCCCAATGATGATGGCTAGCAAGTTCCCGCCATCCTTCTTGCTCAGAATGTGACCAGCACTCTCCTTTTCTGATGTGACCAGCCCTAGGGAGAGAGCAAGGTAGGTCAGATACCAGGTGAAGAGACAGGGCCGTGAAGACAGGAGCAGCCCAAGAAAGAGGCCATCGACATTGTCCACGGAGCCAGGATTCCCGCAACAACACCCCCACCAGCTGGGGGTCTCTGAGTCCTTCCCAGCACAGCGATACAGGAAGTTCTTCTCTGGGTCTAGCCTCTGCTGTTGCTAAACAAGTACTTGGAAGGACTGCAGAAGTGTTGACAGCCCTTTCCCAGATCCCCCTGCTCACCCAGAAGCCGTGTCTTCCTGAGCTACCTGGATCCAGGTTGGAGACTCACCCACAGACATGATGTAATCCCGGATGAAGGGGGCCCGGAACCACAAAGGCAACGTCATCAGGTTCGATCGGATTCCTGGGAAGAGCGAGGAAAAGCCGGTGCTTTCAGTGCACAGGTTGAGAAAGGCTCCTGCGGCCAGGACTCCATGGGGGTGGAAGCCTGCGATGTAGTTCTGGGTAGGGTTCAGCTCAGCCGTCTTGATCAGCTGCAGGAGACAGCAAGCTGGTGACCATCAGCGGAACCTGTACGCCAGTCCTGGTTCTGCCGCTACTGGCTTGTGTCACTCTGGGACTCAGAGTCTCAGGTGCCTCCAAAGCCTAAACACCCTGGATGCTTCTGCAGAGAGAGTTGTTGTGTGGGACCGTGGGTGATACACTGGAGCTGGAGGCTTCACAGACTGGGCACTGGCTTTGGGCAAAATGTTCGCCCCCTGCCTAGGTGACCCTCTCCCAGGAAGACCTGCCCCTTCTGCTGAGAGGTTCAAGTGAAAAGGGACTGGAATTCCTGACTACTGGGTAGGATGCTGCAATAGGTCTGAATGGGAATGGCTCATTTATTTGAATGCTTGGTCCCTAATAGGGGGAACAGTTTTGGGAAGGACCAGGGGTGTGGCTTTGTTGGAGGAAGTGTGCAACTAAGAAGACCACCAGGCCCAATGCGGCTTTCTCTCTGCCCCTGACTTGAGGATAAGCTCTTGGCTTTTACTCCAGCACCATGCCTGCCTGCATGCCGCTATACCTCCTGCCATGATGACTGCAGACCAACCCTCTGAAACCGTGAGCGCGCCCCTAGTTAAATGTTTCCTTTTATAAGTCGCCTTGGTTGCTGTGTCTTCCTAGTGAAGACACAGGAAGGATATGAGGGCCACATGGGCATCGCCACGCTGGGGTCTTTCCATCACAACCTCACTGGAAAGACAAGTTGACGCGTCCACTCTAGGAGTGAGTGATCACAAGAGGGATCAGAATCAGGTTTTGATCTCGTTGACACAGCTTGTGGCCCTGAGACTGGCTCCAGTCCTGTGGAACCGGTGGGTCGTGGGAGTGTCTCTGCTGTCCCAAGGCCAGACCCTAACCCCAACTGTATTAACTCTCTCTGCTATGCCAGGGCAGAAACGTACCCTGACTGGTTACGCCTGATGCATCGAGAGCCCAGAGTTACCACCAGAAAGAGAGCAAGAGTCATAGGTTGCTAAACAGTTCTAGGTGAAGTGAGACAAGGACATACACAGGGAGGGGGCTGAAGGGACCACTAACTGTGGAAAAGCATTGGCTGCGTAAGCACAAGAGCCTGAGTCTGGATTCCTAGAACCCGTGTCAAAGTCAGATACACAGCGTGAATGGCACCTACAGTGAGATGGGCCAGCAACAGGAGAATCCCTAGAAGCCAGCCTGGCATGTCAAGGAAGAAGCAGCAGAGGCCCCATCACAAATTAGATAGAAGGCAAGGACCAATTCCTTAGGTTGTTCTATGATCTCCACTGGTGGGCCATCACACGCGCACACACACATGCACACACATGCACACATACACACGCACACACGTACGCGCGCACGCCCGCGCGCACACGCGCACACACACACACATGCAGACCCCTCTGCCTGGGCCATCACATGCATGCATGCACAGACACACACACACACCTCAGCCTGGGTGGTAGCCAAGTCCAAAGATCATGGCTGAAGGCCATGTTGTAGGTGGGACCAGTCCCTTTCCTCTCTGCCAGAAACCTGTCTCTGCTTCTCAGTGCCCTGTGCTCTGGGAGCCACAGCTACGGGAGTTAAAAGCCACCCATCTCCCCCTGGCATCCCTGTGCCGGAGGCTTCCTGGGAGGATGGGTGGCAGGGACTCTGCACCTTCCCGGAGACGGGTAGCCCTTTCCACTGGCTAAGCTTTGCCAGGTGAACGGTCATACTGTCAGCAAGCGGCAGCTCCCAGAGGCTGCCTCCCCGAGGATTCTTGCTGCCTCTCGGGCCTCAGCAGCCTGGAGGTGGAAATGGGGCCCTAAGCCTATCTGCCTACGCCAGCTGCAGAGTTTTCCATCCTCCTGTCCTTGGTCTTGGCTTGACCTCTGAAAACCTCTCACCACACAGAGTCCACCAAAACCCTCCAAAGCACCATAGGGCTCTGCAAGGACTCAGAAGTCCCAGGCAGAGGGGCTGTTGCCTTCCCAGAAGGGGACCAAGGAAGTTATGGAAACCCCTGCAGGGTCAGAGCTCTAGCTCACTCACCCAAGTGCTTACACGGGAGGCTACCAGGGTATTCATCCTTTGCTCCATACATGGCAACGCTTGCTATTTAACGTTCACATCTCTGTGAAAACAATTGGAAAATTTTGAAAAGACAGAAGAGAACAGATCTCTCATCCCAGTGGTTCCACTGCTGAGGGATTTAGCCAACAGAATTGTCTGCACTCTGGTTGAATGCTGTCCCCAAAAAAATGCCATTTATGGACGCATCAGTTTTAGCTGATATCAGAAACTTATCCACCAACAGGGCTTGTCTGGAAAAACTGGGGATGAGGCAGACAGAACGGATACAACCACAGGAGAGTATGAAGCAAGCCAGGATAGCTTGTAAGTGAACAGCAAGGAGGAGGATAGTGTGCAGGACGTGGCAACTGAGTGGAAGTGACAAGATTAAAGCGAACATTACAACCTGGCACTTTTACAGGCTTGTGAGGCAAGCGTGTTACTGCCGGAGCCATTCCCCAGCCCTAAAATGGAGTCTTTCACATCTGCTTTCTTGTTCTCTTGAATTTTGAACAAGAACACATTCCTATTTTAAATAAATAAATGAACAACTGTACCCTTGATAACAAAGCATTTGTGTATAGAGAAATATCCCGGTGAGGATGGGGGCCAAGTGAGCTGGCATTTGCACATGTATTTACACGCGCACATGCAAGTGTGTGCACTGGAGGGTGACTGTGGTCCCGCCGAGGCCCAGTCTGCACTTTTCTACTGGTATCTTCTGTGCTAACTGTTCCCTGTGAGGCTTAGATTCTGTGTGTCCTGCTTACCGTGTCTCCACACATGACGGGAGAGAGGAGATGCTTCAGGAAGACTAGAACGAGGGAGCGAAGGAAGAAAGTCGGTGGGAGGGGCAGGCGTAGCTTCCTCAGAAGGTAGACACTTCCAACCCAATCCTGTACTCACTTGGATTGCACCGCAGGCGAGAGAGCCCTAAGCTAGGGGTCTAGGAGCTCATGAGGGCTGTGCCAACTCCTGGCTCCCTGGTGTCAGTCACTCTTTGCTAACAGGTCAGCAGTGACACCTCCCTGACAGGCTTGTTGTAGGTCCCCAAGGAAGAAGAAGGGAGTTGGTGACGTGCCCCGATCTCTCTGCAGCTCCCCCAGTTTGGCTACCAGGAGGGTAGGGTGGCTGAGCAAGGTTGTGGGTGTCTGGAGAAATCCTGGCTGGGTCTGGTACTGGGCAGCGGGGGTGAGAGAAAAGGGGGGCAGCCAGATCACTGGACTCTGGGGCTACTCAGCTTTCACCGGTGTCACCTGTATACCATGAGGTCCAGGCTTTGAAAATGTGTGATCAAGCACACTTTGACACAGCTGTGCAATATCACCACCGACCCTAGCGCAGACTCCCAACTCCAGAAGGGAACCCATATCCATGACTCATTGCTTCTTCCCAGCGCTGGTAACCACGGATCTGTTCTTCAGCTCCCTGTGTTTGCCTGTTCTGGACGATGTCTAAAGGAAGCCACACACATATGACCTTGGCGAATGGCTTCTTGGACTTACTGGCGTGTTCCCAAGGTCTCTTTCATGCTGTGTCACAGGTCAGTACTTCGTTCTATTTTTATGACCAAATAATACTCAACCACATGGACAGACTGTATTCTGTTTATCAGTGGATGAGCACTTGAGTGGTTTCTACTCTTTGGCTGTTACAAACCACGTGGGCTTGAGCGTGTGTGAACGTTTTCAGTTCTGAAGGAAGGTCCTAAAATATTACCTTTAACTGCAAGGTCCTTCTCCATGCCTGCACAGAAGACCCGACCGTCACAGAGTGCACCGTGATACTAGCTTAGAGCTCAGCTCACTCCACCCGGTCACACCACTTCTCAACCCTCTTACGGCTCACACGCTCCAGAGTCCACCTTCCTTTTGGCTCCTTCAGGGCACACGAAGCAGCAGTCCTGCTAGCTTGTAACACTTACCAGAGCCCTAGGGACCGGCTTTTAGTGTGATGACACCATTGCACAAATGAGCACATGCGTGCAGAGAGAATGGGAGAATTGCCCAAAACCACAGGGGCGACTTGGATTTGAGACCTGCCGTCTCCTTCAGAGAGCACAGGACGGATCCAGAAAGCCTTTGCCTTGGGACGAAGGGCATTCGGGACCAGCTCTGGAACTTTCTAGTCAATCTTGCAAAATCCAGGACTCTAGGGTCCCTCCCCCAGGCTCCTGCATCAGCAGCCTACTCAACTGCCCCAGGGCAAACAGATCGATGTTCTCACAGGGAAGTGGTTCAGGGCCCTACTGTGCACCTAGATTACCTGGCAGGAAGACAGGGTTTGATCCAGTACAACTGGTGCTGGCCCTGGGGGTGAGAGCCTATTCCTTGGGTGTGTGGATTGTGCAAGTGTGTATGTATATGTATGCCTGTGTATATGGCTGACTGGGTAGGCACGTGTATATAGTTAGGGCCTGGAGCAATTTCCCTGTATCGCAGCCAGACGGTTGGATGAAGGAAAGGCTGGGGTTCTATCTGCCGCTGCTTGTAGTTCCCCCATGTGGCTCTGGGTCCAGGTTTGGCTTCCCGAGATTCTCAGTTAAATTCTCTGCCTCACCTGCCTGCCACTCCATGGGGTCATCTGGCTGATGCTCACTGACATCGACGGATACATTCCCTCATTTCTGAGCTATATTCCCCTTCCAAACGAAACATCTTGAAATGTGTTTGCGTATTTCAACAACCTTGCTCGGCCACCCTACCCTCCTGGTAGCCGAACTGGGGGAGCTGCAGAGAGATCGGGTCATGTCACCTACTCCCCTCTTCTTCCTTGGCCTCCTGGGAACCCACAACACGCCTGTCAGGGAGGTGTCGCCGCTGTCCTGTTAGCAAAGATGCACCCCACAATCCTAACTGAAGGTGTGTTTTATGGTCCATACAATACTGTACGTTTTACCACTGAGACCGTGATAGAGTTGGAGACACGCAGCTGGAAAAAGTGTGTCTGAGTGGACGGACGGTCCCAGGACCGACTTCGTGCCAGGCACAGCACACACAACAACTCACTTTGTGAGCGCAGTTCTGGTAACAGTGACCCCAGTGTACAGAGGAGGAAACCGAGACCCGTGATCATTCTCAGCTATTGAAGGATCAGAGCCCAGCCTGAGCCCAGGCATCCAGGCTCCAAATGCAAAGCCAAGTCGGAGCTCTGTGTGAAAGGTGGTGGGGAATGGGGCACCGTGCAAGCACAGATAACGGGGTGGGGTGGGGGGAGCAAGCAGAACACAGAAAAGGAGCGGTTCTTGGTTGGACTTAAGGTCCAAGGAAGGAGGAATGAGTCAGAGGGGGAAGTTGAGGACCCAGAACACGGTTCTGGAGTAGCAGCTCTCACTAAGGGCTTTGGTTGTCACAGCAGAAGACAGTAGTGCTAGCACACAGTAGGGAGCTGCCAGGAGTGAGAACGGCCAGAACAAGGACTTATCAGTAGGGATTGAGAAAGCCCGCTGGAAGGGACTTAACTGGGAGGGACAGGGGCAGGGACAGGGGTGGGGTTATAACGAGCTGACTCTGACCGTGAGCAGTGTGGTGTGTGCTGCATTCCCTGACCCCGGGTCATGGTCCTGGTCACAGATCGTGGTCCCTACCAAGGTCCTGACCTGTGTAGAGTGTTTATTCTGGGTGATGAAATCTCCACGGGGACGCCCAGGACACACGTGATAGGGACAGCTTCCTCTACACAAACTGCCCGATTCCTCATCATTAGCTCTTAGGGAAGCAGTAAAGATGACCTGGGAAAGTTCCACGGTACAGCTACAGCCATAATGCCCACCCCCACCCCCACCTCTGGGAAACTACTTTGTAAAAATCTTAGTAAACAAAACTTGAAAGTCATCAGAAGAAGACCACATTTGATGCAGAGGCTCGTGGATGGGGGTGGGAGGGGTCAGCAAAACTGGGAAAGAAAAGTCCCCAGAAGAGAGGGATTGGGAGGTCAGTGGGAAAAGAAGTCTGCAGGATACACTCAGTCCTCTCCTGCTGGCTCCTCTTCTAAGCCAGGCACAGCCTAGGAGACTTCATCTCTCTCTCTGCTGGCCACTCACTGGTACCGCCTGACCCTGGCTGGTACTTCTGTGTTGAGCCTGGGATAGGTAACAACACTCGAATTTCTGCACATCAGGCGGGGAGCCCCCTGGCTGTGGAAAGATCAAGAAGACCGAGGAGCCCCTCCTTATCACTTCTGCCAGCCCTGCTACCAGGGATCCAAGTGGGAAGACTCAGAGGTCCTCCAGAGTTCAGGGGCTTCTGGGACCTGGAAAATGTCAGCTAGCCATCCCAGTTTGGGGAAGCGGCCTCTAGGGGGCTCCACTGACCTGAACCACCTCTCCAGCCACAGCTCAGGCTAGCTTCTGCTTTGGTCGCACTGAGAGCCCTGACCCAGGGGCTCAGGAGGTCTCTAGACAAACTCCTGGCCTCTGCCTGTGGGGTCCACTTTGCAGGAAGCCTCTCTTCTGCTGAGCCCAGAACCCACGAAAGGAAGCCAGAGCCAGAATGAGCAAAACTCGACGGAACCCAGAACTAACCAGGCTTCCTTTGGCTCTGATATGATGTCACTTACAGGTCCCCAGGGTAGAGGTTCACACTCTTTTGACACTAAGATGCTCAATGCCCTTGAGTGACAGTCTCTGTTAGCTCCTCTGTACTCCCTGCCAGTGTCTTTCCTTGGAAGCCCTGCTTTCTAGAGAGCTAGGGGCTCCTGCATGCCTTTGTCACCCAATATGACAGCCCCTGTGGGACCTCAGGACTCTCAGAAGGGCACAGGGTAGGATCCTTGATTGGAGTTCCCATGATGCAAGCAAGTTGTTCAACCCCTATGGGCCTATTTCTTCCACCCATCCCCCTTTGATAGCAGGGGACTGGAGTCCTGGACCAAAGGAAGAGGCGGGACTCTACACAGGGAGGAAGAAGTCGGGTGGGGGTGAAGGTCAGAGTGTCCGGGATCCAGGCAGTGTCCTATTGACTTGGTGACTTGGTGTGAGAGGAGCTATTACTAAGACTGTCTGCAGACTTTGTCTGCACCGTCTGTTGGAATCCACACTGTCCAGGAAGGCATACAACGGCATTTCTGTCTGCTTGTTTTTGAGACAGTGTCTCTCTTCACAGCCCTAGCTGTCCTGGAACTCACTACATAGACCAAGATTGCTGCAAACTCTCAGAGAAATTCCTGCCTCTGCCTTCCAAGTACTGGAATTAAAGGTGTGTACCACTATGCAGTTATCTCGATCTTAAATATGCCAAAACAGAAGCATAGAGACTGGGCAACCCACCTCAAGTTCACACTCCCACTACGTGGCAGATGTAGGTTAGGATCTAGTCCATCGAGCTCCATAAGCCACGCTCCAAGTGCCCAGGCCTGGCCTCTTGCATTCCCATGGCCCTTTTATCCCATCAGTAAAACAGCACTGCCTGGGCTTCTCAGGGCTGTGTCTGTCTATACCCCACTGAGGGAGCCTGCCTGGGCTTCTCAGGGCTGCGTCTGTCTATACCCCACTGAGGGAGCCTGCCTGGGCTTCTCAGGGCTGTGTCTGTCTATACCCCACTGAGGGAGCCTGCCTGGGCTTCTCAGGGCTGTGTCTGTCTATACCCCACTGAGGGAGCCTGCCTGGGCTTCTCAGAGCTGTGTCTGTCTATACCCCACTGAAGGAGCCCCAGAATCTCCTCATTCCCGTTCAGGAATCTGCTCCGCCCAGGACCAAGCTTCACGTCCAAGGTCACATGTTCACAATGACCTGACTTGAAAGGGCAATGAATCAAAGATGCCAGGATCTGGGGACACTCAAGGTAGGAGATGTCACAATGCTTGCTGATTCTTAGAGACACTGAAGCCAGCATGAGCCAAGCCCTGCCTAAGAACACACAGCCTGCCAGCGATAAGGCAGGATGGACTCTGAGGCAGTGCTATACCAGTACAGAAGCATTAAGTTTATAGGAGAGTTCGCTGTGCGGCTCGGGTCTCACCCTTGGGTCCCCCATCTGCCAAGGATAATGTGGGTCTCTTAAGACCTGTTGCTTATCATTTTCACCCAGAACTTTGACTGCTGCTGGCTTTGTCCCTATAAAACATGCATATCCCCTTCAAGACACATTTATACATCAGTACCCATATTGGCCCCGAGTTCCATGGCCAGAAAGACACCACACTCTTCCACAGGCCTCTCGGGTTCCTGTCTCCCAGCCAGCCTTCTGCTCTGCAGATTCCCTGTGCTCACAGAGATGAGTGGCCCAGAGGCCCTTGGACCCCTGGAGCCCAGTACTCACTTTGACGGGGAAGTAATCCCTCATGTACTTCCAGATGGTCCAGCGTCTGACGAACTGGATGGTCCGGCCTCCCTGGCGCGGCTTGTCCCAGTCCAGGAACAACCAGGTGGCATACAGGACAGAGAAAAGCCAGAACCTTGTGAACAGGAGGCCTATGAAGATGGCGATGCAGATCTGAGCTGGGAGAGGAGCAGAGAGAGAGAGAGCTGCAAGGAAGGCAGTCCCAGCACCAACTTAGTTCTTCCCTGACTATGCCCCCATGCCAGCAGCTCTGCCCCGTCCGGCCCACACCACTGGGAGAGAACTAACTTCCACGCCTCGCATATCAGGACAGTCACACTGGCAAGGGGCCCGGTCTAAAGTCATCTTCCTCCACTACACCAGGTGTCTCACCTACACTGCCCTTACCCCTCAGGAAGGCTACATGCCTTCAGCACACACTCTATAAATGGAGCCATGGGTCGAATTAGCTTTTGCCTTCTACTTTGAGAACCCTAGGGAAAAAGGAGACGATTTTCTTCCCGGCCCCCTTTCTGTCCACTCTCAGTCAAAGCTAAGCCCAGACTCCATCCTAAGGCCCTGCCATGGTGTCCAACTGTTGCAAGGCACAGCCTGACAGTTCAGCCTGGCCTCAGCTCTGTGAGCTGGCACGCCACCTTACCCTCCTATGTGGCCAGGGCTCCAGCCAGACTTTCCAAGCCCACTCTGCTTTGTGTGTCACGGGGACATGGCCTGGTTACCCTGGGGACTGCAAGGCTAGGACCAGGGTAGATGCAGATGTCTCTCTTGTCTGTGTTTCTGTCACCCTTGTGGCAAGCAAATCCTGGTCATCTTGGGTGCAGCGGGTCCATGGGGCCACACCCCATCTTTCCCATAGAAGGGGCCACACCCCATCTTTCCCACAGACTGCTACCCCACCTCACCTGGGCAACACCTTTTATTTGCTGAGTTTTCCCTTTTAGCATCACGATCAAACCCATGGATCCATACATGCTAGGCAAGGGCTCTCCCTAGCACTGAGCTACACCCAGCCCCTGGATTCTTTCTGTTGGCTTGTTTTTGTTGTTTTTCTTGTGAAGCGGGGCCTCAACTATCCCAGGCTAGCTTCAAACTCCCTGGACAGCTAAGGATGACTGAACTTCCAATCCTACCTCTACCTCCCAAGTACTGGGATTATAGGTGTCCACCAAGCCTGGTTTGTGCAGTGTTGGTCCAACCCAGGGCCTTGTACATGCTGGGCAGTTACTCTACCAACTGAGCTATATCCCCAGCCTTCAGAGTCTTAGAGGAAAGCCAGACCCAGCTGTGAAGTCCACTTGGAGAGCGTAGCGTCTGTAGTTATTGGTTTGGGTTTGTTTTTTACTCTTTGGGGGCCCAACACCCAACTCTCAAACACACAGAGACTTATTCTTACTTATGAATGCCCAGCCTTAGCTGGCTTGTTTCTAGCCAGCTTTTATTTTTTTTTAAAAAAAAATTATTTATTTATTCATTATGGATACAATATTCTGTCTGTGTGTATATCTGCAGGCCAGAAGAGGGCACCAGAACTCACTACAGATGGTTGTGAGCCACCATGTGGTTGCTGGGAATTGAACTCAGGACCTTTGGAAGAACAGGCAATGCTCTTAACCACTGAGCCATCTCTCCAGCCCCTCGCCAGCTTTTCTAACTTATTATCCATTTTGCCTCTGGGTGGTTGGCCCCCGGTGCCTTCCTTGCCTCCTTTCCTTGCTCCTTGCTCTCTTCCCTAGATTTCTCCTCCTATTTACTCTCTCTACCTGCCAGCCCTGCCTATTTCTCTCTCCTGCCTTGCTATTGGCTGCTCAGTGCTTTATTAGACCAACCAGGTGTTTTAGACAGGCACAGTAACACAGCTTCACAGAGTTAAACAAATGCAGCATGAAAGAATGCTGCACATCTTTGAGCCATTAAACAAACCTCAACATAAAGCCAGCCACACTGAACCTTATAGAAGAGAAAGTGGGAAGAACACTTGAAATGCATTGGCCCAGGAGACCACTTCCTAAATATAACCCCAGCAGCACAGACACTGAGAGAAACAATTAATAAATGGGACCTCTTGAAACTGAAAAGCTTCTGTAAAGCAAAGGACACAGTCAACAAGACAAAACGACAGCCTACAGAATGGGAAAAGATCTTCACTAACCCCACATCAGACACAGGTCTGATCTCGGAAATATACAAAGAACTCAAGAAACTTAATATCTAAAGAACAAATAATCCAATAAAAAGTGGGGTAGAGACCTAAACAGAGAACTCTCAACAGAGGAATATAAATGGCTGAAAGACACTTAAGGAAATGTTCAACAGCCTTAGTCATCAGAGAAATGCAAATCAAAACAACTCTGAGATTCCATCTTACACCTGTAAGAATGGCCAAGATCAAAAACACTGATGACAACTTATGCTGGAGAGGTTATGGGGAAAAGGGAACACTTCTGCATTGCTGGTGGGAATGCAAGCTGGTACAATCCCTTTGGATGTCAGTGTAGCGATTTCTCAGAAAATTAGGAAATAACCTTCCTCAAGACCCAGTAATACCACTTTTGGGTAAATATCCAAAGGATGTTCAATCGTGCCACAAGGACAAGTGCTCAACTATGTTCAAAGCAGCTTAGGCCGGGCTATGGTGGCGCACGCCTTTAATCCCAGCACTCGGGAGGCAGAGGCAGGCGGATCTCTGTGAGTTCGAGACCAGCCTGGTCTACAGAGCGAGTTCCAGGACAGGCTCCAAAGCCACAGAGAAACCCTGTCTCGAAAAAAAAAAAAAAAAGCAGCTTAGATTTGTCATAGCCAGAACCTGGAAACAACCTAAATGCCCCTTGAACAAAGAATGGATAAGGAAAATGTGGTACATTTACACAATGGAGTACTACACAGCAGAAAAAATAAAGACATCTTGAATTTTGCAGAAAAATGTATGGAGCTAGAAAACATTATTTTAAGTGAGGTAACCCAGACACAGAAAGACAATTATCACATGTACTCACTCATAGGTTGTTTTTAAACATAAAGCAAAGAAAGCCAGCCTACAAACCACAATCCCAGAGAACTTAGACAACGATGTGGACACTAAGAGAGACTTACATAGATCTAATCTACATGGGAAGTAGAAAGTAGAAAAAGACAAGATCTCCTGAGTAAATTGGGAGAATGGGGACCTTGGGGGACGGTGGAATGGAGGAGGGCAGAGGCAGGGAGGGGAGCAGAGAAAAATGTAGAGCTCAATAAGTATCAATAAAAATGTATTAAAAAGAATTATATAAAGACAAAAATACATAGACTTTTGGACACATAGAAGCATAAATAATTGATACATAATCTGTGATGAAAATTCGGCATGCACGCATGCATGCACTCCCCAAGAACCAAAAGGTAAAATGTAAAGAAGAGTGTCTAAATCTAAGTTAAAATAAAGGCACTGGAAATGAATGTCAAAAAATAAATAAGTAAATAAGTAAGTAAATAAATAAATAAAACTTCAGCTACAGCTCTTTCCATTTGGACCAACCAAAAGTCTCTGCAGTGTCTCCCACTTAATAAGACCCTCTCTCAAGAAGAAAAAACTCAATATTAACAGTTACTACCTGGAGGGGAGGATTATGGTTTACCTAAAGGTTCAAATGTTGTTTGAATGAGTTACTTTTGCAGACAGAAAAAAGAAACAAAGTTTAGGAGAAAACAGGAGCACTTTCCCCTGGATCACAAAGCTCCTACTTGGCGATCCTGACTCCCAGACTTCTCCCTCCTCCTGCTAACAGCAAGCCAGGCGGGGTCTGTCTGGTGATTTAGGGAGGTGGCCCTTGCTTCCCTTAGCCAATCTCTCCAAGCCTGCAGTTTCTTTTGCCGTTTGTGTTTTGGTTTGGCATCTTTGGAAAATGGTCTGGCTGTTCTGGAGCTCACTATGTAGACCATGCTGTCCTCAAACTGACAGAGATCCCAAGTGCTGGAATCAGAGGTGTGGGCCATGATGCCCAGTTTAGCCTGAGGTTTCTTTTTTGGTTGTTTGTGTTTATCACTGTTTTATTTATCATAGCCAGAAACTGGAAACAACCTAGATGTCCATCAACAGATGACTGGATAAAGAAAATGTGTTAAGTTTATACAATGTAATATTAATAGCTGTTTTAGAAAAATGAAATCACAAAATTCACAGCTAAATGGATAGAGCTAGAAAAAAATTACACTGAATGCGGTAAACCAAGCTCAAAAAGACAAATACATACATGCTTCTATGTGAATGTTAGCTTTGAAACGTTCAGTAGACAGACTACAATTCCTAAAACCACAGAGGTTAAGTATAGAGTAAGGGACTCGGGAGGAGGGAGGTTCTCCCAAGGATGGGGAAATAGAATATATAGTTACGGAGAGACAGGGAAGAGACTGGAGTGGAAAGATTAAACAAAGAAGGGGAAAGAACACAGGAAAGCCTGAGGTTTCTCAAACCCCTACTGTTTAGAGACTTGGGGTATGCACACTGGCTAAGGTCACGTAGCAAGCTAACAGTAAAACCTGAGAGTCAGTGCTTGGCCCATGCATGGCATTCACTCATTCAACAAATATAAAACAAAACCAGCTAAGAACAGCATAGGCCAACACTGGAGGATCTTGCTCTCCCATGAGAGGGCCATGAGAGAGGAAAAGAAACAGAAGCAATGAGCAAGCCCATCTGGAAAGCATTTGACTCTGGGCCTGAGCCCTTGGAGTCTGGTCCTAATTGACTTTCCCAGCTACTCCATGCCATTGTGCAAAATACATCCCATATGTCCAGTTGAACTGGACATTCAGATCACACAGTCTTTTCTTCCTCCTTCAGACTGCCCTGTCTGGGAAGCTGAATACGGGCAGGCTTAGACTCACATTGTATTTTCTCTTGGTGTATTCGTGGTTTGTAAGCATGTATGTGTGGATGTATGTTCACATGTGGGCACACGTGTGTTCAGGTGCCCTTGTGGAGGAACGAGGTGTCTTCCCCTGTCACTCTCTGACCTCTCTCTTTTTCTATCTATGACTCTGATGCTGAGGCAGGGTCTCTCTCTCTCTCTTGAACCCAGGACTCACGGGTTTGACTAGTTAGCCAGCTTGCTCTAGGGATCCTTTGTCTCTGCTTACTTTGTGTTGACACTATAGTCAGGCTACCAACCCCACCTGGTGTTTATGCAGCCAACTTAGCCAAACCTTTACCGATGGAATCGTCACCCCAGCCCCACCCTCACTATTCTTTAAAACCTCCTTAGGGAGTACATTTTTGGAGCCCTACCCCACCTCCCCCTCATCTCTGATATGACACCTGTGTATGTTCATGTGGTGACACTTGTGGGTGGATGTGTGCATGCACGTGTCTACATGTGTGTGAAGGCTAGAGGACAACCCTAATGTCAACCTGAAGAGGGCTGTCTACCTCCTTTTGAGATGATGCCCTTCATTAGCCTGAAACTAACCTATGAGGCTAGGCTAGCTGGCCACCAAGAGCCAGGGATCTTCCTGACTCTGCCTCCCCGGTGCTGAGACTACAAGTATGTGTCACCATGCCTGACATTTTTTTCCTATTTTTTTTCAGTTTTTGAAATTATATAGAAAGTATATTGGTTAGAGTTAGTTGACAATAATGGGAAAGAAAACTATGTAACAAAATATGATTAAAATCTAAGGTAAAAAAGTCAAGTGAAGACTTGAAAAAAAATTCAAGGAAATAAGTAACAGCATATATTGGTAAAAAGAAATATAACATAAAGAGATACAACAATCATGAATATGTATAAGTGAATATATACTGAACTATGTGTACATGTTAAATCAATAAACACAAACGGAGAATAGGTGAGTTAGTTATTTGAGGCAAAGATTTTAGCATTTGGTGCTAGTCAACTTGCTGTTATTATAACAAAATTTCTGAAATAAATAACTTAAAAGGAACATAGGTTAATAATCATGCTTGACATTTTTACAGAGGTTGTGGGACTCAAACTCAGCTCCTCGTGCTTTCAAGGCTCTGAAGCCATTCCTTCATCATCATCATCATCATCATCATCATCATCATCATCATCATCATAGAAACAAAATGAGAAAAGATAGCAAGTATTTTAGACATTTTAGAACTTGTAAGATGCAAATTAGAAGACATTATGAAAGCATTTGAGTAGCGGTTTAAAATTTAATCTTTTAGAAATGACAGAAACTCTTGGATCTTAGACTACAAAAAAAGAAACAAACAAATAACAAAACACCCGGGCTGGTTTTGACCCATGAGCCCTGACTTGGTGACTACTGGTATAGACTTCGATTGCCCTCCCTTTGATCTCCTCATCCCCACACACAGCAGAACCTCAACCGTAGGCACAGGGACCTTTATCACAAAGTTGGACTTTACCACTTCTTCCCTGCTGGGTCTCTGGTTCTCCTTTGCCCTCAGGATAAGGTAAAACCACCCACTCCTGCCATGGAAGAGCCCAGAACCCTTTCCTTGCTTCTCTTCAGCTCTTCCTGGCTCAGGGGAGCCCTGGCATCTGTCCTATACTACGTGGTCTTGCTAGGTCTGTGTAAGAGCAGGGCCAGGCAGGTACCACAGGCTGCATGGATGGGGTGAGCTCATTCAGTCAGACATATGCCTCCCCTCAAGGTCACAGGTGGCAGATTGACTTTAGTGCCCCTCAGCCCCTGAGAGAATGTGGTTATGGCCTCTGTGGCTCTCGGTCTTCAGTGCCCTTTGACCCAAGCCAGCACCAGGCTTAGGCCTCCTGCCCTCTGTTTTCTGTGCCCATCAGCTATTTTCTATAGCTACACTTCCTTCCAGTGCCCTCTGCCCACCCCTCAGCCCTTCTTCCTCTGGAAGGAACAGGGACCAGGCTCCTGATTTACAGCTGGGCCTTTCAAGTATGCCATTTCTCTGCTTGGCTCTGCCTACCAGAAGTACTTAAAATGTTTACCAACCCTGGGATAGAGAGGCAGACCAATTAAAAAGGGTGCTAGAGGCAGGGTCCTGGATGGCCTTGAATGAACCCTATAGCTGAAGAATTGTGAGGTGATCCTAAGGGAGCATGTACACACATGTGCACGTGCATGTGTGTGTGTGTGCACGCGTGTGTGTGTGTGTGTGTGTGTGTGTGAGAGAGAGAGAGAGAGAGAGAGAGAGAGAGAGAGAGAGAGAGAGAGAGACTAACATGTACCCAGCACCCAGCATGTGAATAATTTAAACAGCCAGCAGTATCTGGACCCAGGATGAACTCCAGTCCTTCAAAGGTCGCAGCCTTTCCCCAGTCCATTGCCAGCAAAGGAGATTACGTGAGCTCCCTGCCACTCTTTCTTCCTGGTCCACAGCAGAGCTGGAATGCAGCCACACATCAGTGGGGTGTGGTGGATCAGGGGTCATATCCACACCTAAGGAGGCAGGCCAGGTCTGCCTGGGGTTCCCACCTCCCTACGCTTCATCTACAAAGACCCCGTAGGGTGACGCCGACATTCCCACCATGCAGCTGCTGAAGCTGAAGCTGGTCCCTTCTTTCCTGGCCTCAGTTCCACCTGCCTTTTTCTGAAAGGTAAAACGGAGAGCTTCCTGGTCCGAGTAGCAGGACGCAGAGAGCGCTGCTTTTCCCGGCATTGGATGCTTCCCTGCCCCTCCGCAGCTCTCAGCAAGAGCCTGGGGGAAACTGCCCGCCCCCAATCCTAAAAACTAAAGCTTTCCCAAGATAAAGGAGCTCCTGCTTACCCACACAAGACTCTGGCAGACCCCAGGAACCTCTCTGCACAGGAGCTCTGAGCCCAGCAAAACCCCTTTCTGAATCTCTCTTATTCAAGCATCCTGTGTTCCCGCTCAGGCTGCCCGGCCCTTCCCATGAGACCTACCCTCTTACCCAAGGCCAAGAAGGAGAAGACCCACTGCAGGACTGCGAAAGTCTGCAGCCTGCGCTCCCATGGCACCGACAGGGGTGCGAACTCCACCATGCTGAGCTTGCTCCGGAGGTCCCTTCCACACACACCGCTGTGCTCCAGGCCGAAGGAGCTAGCCCAGCCCAGCCCAGCCCGGCCCAGCTTTAGCTAGGGCCGCCTTGCTCCGCCCACGCCAGATTTTACCTAGAGGAAACCTTGGAATCCAGCGGCTGGGACCAGAAGGAAGGAGGTAGAGAGACCTGTTCAGCCCTTATCAGTCATCTGAGACAATGCTTTATCTACCAAACCACCTTCCTGGCGTCCGGAATCCTGCTCTAACTACAGTAAAACCCCGAAAGTTATGCAGTTGCGGGTCCCTCACCATCTGCTGTTTTCCTTTCTCTCTCCCAAATCCCTTCACCCCTCCACAAACAAGCAGCGACAGTTCCTATCGGAAGTCCTCTGCCCACATCTCCTCCATCCGTCATGCCTCTGCTTATCTAACCAGTAGAATTTGCAGAAAGGCTGTGTTCTGGACCTTCGCATCTCTAACTCAGAGATCTGCCTATCTCTGCCTCCTGAGTGCTGAGATTAATGGCGTGTGTCACCACCACCCGGCCATGTCTTATTTTTAATTGAAAAAAAAAAATCCCACATAATATATTCTGATCACAAGCTTCCTTTCCCCTACTCCTCCCGGATTATCCTCACCTCCCAACCTACCCAACTATACACCTTTTCTTTCTCTCTCTTTAAAAAACAAAACAAAACAAAAAACAAGAAAAACACACAAAAATTTGAAACCAAAGTAAACAAACAAAAGACCAATAAAAACATTGTCAAACAAAACAATACGAAACAAAAGTCTACAAAAATACCACTGAGGGGCTGGAGAGATGGCTCAAATGGTTAAGAGCATTGCCTGTTCTTCCAAAGGTCCTGAGTTCAATTCCCAGCAACCACATGGTGGCTCACAACCATCTGTAATGAGGTCTGGTGCCCTCTTCTGGCCTGCAGATATACAGACAGAATATTGTATACATAATAAATAAATAAATATTTAAAAAAAAAAATACCACTGAGTTCATGTGTGTTGGTCACTTATTCCTCAGCATGGGGACTGCCCTGAAGCGTGGTAAACAAACCCACTGAGACTCCCCTGGGAAAGCCTCACATTACCTTTGTAACTGGGCACTAATTGCTGATAGGCTCTTGGTTGGAAGTAGGACCCTGTGTCTACTTCCCATCTCAGTGCTTGAACCCCAACATCGCTGTTTCTAAATTTTTGGCCTTTTTGTTGTTGTTGTTGTTGTTGTTTTGCTTTGGGAGTTTTTTGTTTTTGTTTTTCAAAACAAAGTTTATCTGTGTTACAGTCCTGGCTGTCTTGGAGTTTGCTTTGTAGATCAGGCTGGCCTTGAACTCAGAGGTCCTCCTGCCTCTGCCTCTTGAGGTGGCATTAAAGTTGTGCGCCACCACCAATGGCTAACTTGTCTCTTTTTTTCCCCCAGTATCTCATGAGCCCAGGTGATCTTAAACCCATAGCTAATGGTGACTCTGATCTTCCTGCCTCTACTTCCCAAGCACAAGGTACAGTACCCCTCCCAACCTTGTCTTGGTTTTGGACTTTATAAAAGAGGAATTATACAGTATATACTCTCTGGAGATTGGATTACTTGGTTCAAAACTTTATATTTGAGTTATCCACGTGGTATATTGGTAGGGTACTTCTTGGCTGTAGAGTATTTCATGGTGTGACCGTTTTGGCTTATCTAGTTTCCTACCGATACGTTTCTGCCTACTGTGGGTTGTGCTATTTGCACATACTTTTAGAAATTCCATGACATTATTATTTACTTTGTGTGTGTGTTGGTGGTACACGCACACCACAGCACATGTGTGGCGGTCAGAGGACAACTCATCTTTACATGATGAGTTCTCTTCCACCTTTACACGGGTCCTGGGGTTAATTAGATTCAGGTTCAGACTCAGCAACGAGCTCCTCCAGCTGCTGAGTCATCTTGCCGGTACCTTGTACATCCTGAAGTGCACTCTCTTGTTCACCTCTGCGTGCCACACGTCTGGGAATGCCGTTGGTGGAGCATGGTACAAAATTATATGGTTTTCTGACAAGCATGATATGAATTTTCAGGTTGCTACTGGTTTGGTCTTTCTCAATGCTGTGACTCTTTTATTATTATTTTTTATAGTGCTGGGATTGAACCCAGGACCTTGCCTATTCTAGGAAGCACTCTACCACTGTGCTACGTCCCCAGTGTACTGCAACCGTGTTGATGAACGTTCTCTGAGCTTATAGTAGCGTTTCCCTAACAACTAATAAGGCTTAGCATGTTTCAGTATGCTTTCTGGCCATTTGGGTATCATTTTCTGGGGATTTCTTGTTCTAGTCATTTGTTGATAGAAACATCCCAAACATTAAATGTCCTATTTTCTGCCTAGCTAGCTTCTCCTACAGAAGATGACTCCCAGTTCCTGATGGCTTCAGCCCTCACTTTTCCATCCCCTTTCCACAGTCTCAAATGTCCAGATCTACTGCTGAATCAAAGAGGCTGTGGATATCCAAGTTAAGAACTGGGGCCAAACTGTTTTCCAAAATGGTCAGACGCTGGATTTCTCACCCTCCTCGCACTGGCTGTGACGAGTCAGGTTTGGTTTTGGTTTCTTATCCAGGTTTAAAATGCTCTCATTCTGCATTTCCACATCACTGAAGTTGAATATTCCTCTTCTGTGACAAGCTTGCTCCTAATTTTCTCCATTTTTTTACAGTGTTTCAGAGCTTTCAAGAACTGGAAGACACTGTTGTTTGTTTGACACGGTGTTGTTACGGAGCCCTGGCTAGCCACGAGCTCACTAAGTAGCCCAGATTGGCCTTAACTCCTGGTAGTCCTCTTACCTCATCTCCCAGAGTAGTAGGGTTACAGGTGTGCACTTGCGTGTGCCAGCGCATGTTTTTACATGTGTGTGCGGGCCCACGTGTGTGCTTGTACATATGGAAGTCAACTGCTGCCCGTCTTTTTGAGATAAGCGTAGAATTCACTGATCCAGCTAGCCCAGACGGACAGCAAGGCGCAGGCCGCCTGCCTCTGCTCACAGGTGTGGTCTGGGGTCACAGGTGCACTCTGTTTGGTTTCTAGTGTGCGTGTTGAGGAGCTTTGCACAGCAAGTACATGACCAACTGAGCTGCCCTCCTAAATCCCTATAGACTTTTTCGAGATAGGGTTTCTCTGTAGCTTTGGAGCCTGTGATACAGACTGGAAATCTCTCCATTTTTGACTTGTCTTTTTTTATTTTATTTGACAAACAAACACATAAAGTTTCAATGTATTCACATAGATCATCTTTCATCAGACAGATACTGTTTGGTCAGATGTGAGAAATCTTCTCCTACTTCTGTTTTCCAATAAAAATTAAGTTTTGCAGGGCATGGTAGTGCGGGGCTCTTAATCCAGCACTTGGAAGACAGAGTTTTAATCATGACTAGGGAACAGGTGTTGCTAAAAGTGTTTTAATCATGTCATCCCCCCCCCCTTTCCTCTCTCTCTCTCTCTCTCTCTCTCTCTCTCTCTCTCTGACAGGGAACTTGGTATATAGCCCAGGCTGGGCCTGAACTCACAAAGATCAACCTGCAGTGCTGGGATTAAAGGTGTGTGCCACCACCGCCTGGCTTCCAGACTGACTTTAAAGCAAAATGAAGGTTCCATTTGAGTCATTATTACTCATTAAAATCCAGAATTTCCTTCGCCCTTTATCACACTTTCCATTGCTTGACTAGAGCAGCACCGCTCCCCTGCTCCCCGCCCAGAAAATACCATAAAATCTCTGGGCTCAGAAGGAGAGGGCCGGGTAGAGGAGAAATTGGAAAAGGGGAGTCAGCCTTTGACAGTGAGAGCTACTCCCTCTGGTGGTCATTATGAGAATCTGCAGGCTCAGAAGCAGGAACCAGGGCTAGGGTTGGGGTTGGATGCTGGTTGAATGGTCCCTAGTGCTGTCTTTGTCTGGAGAAGAGCTGTCTTCTCTTCTGGCAGGATGGAGGGTTCCGAGCTTCTGCCCGCTGAGGGTCAGGTACTATGAGGATGAGTTGTTGCCTAATCTTCAGGGAGAGAAGCAAACTCAAAGGTGTAAATCACTTTGGCTTAGCCCAGTAGTGACTCCTTTCTTTGCCTTTTGTTTGTTCTAAGGAGACCATCTTGAACCCACTAGGCCCTGGCATTTTCTCTTTTCTTCACAGAGGTGCCTTTGTTCTGATATTTCTCTATAGCTTTAGTTCCTGACCTGGAACTTGTAGACCAGGCTGGCCTCGAACTCACATATCCACCTGCCTCTGCCTGCCAAAGTGTTGGGATTAAAGGTGTGAATCACCACCACCCAGCAAGACCATGTTCTTTACTTGGATATTATAATGAATTTCAAACCAGCATGGTCAATGTGAGCTCTGCTCTCTTTCCCCTTGATGCCAGGACTGTGGTACATCTTACTTTTACACAGTAAGGTTGTAGGGTAAAAGGGTCAGCTGGAGCAGGAAACCAACCAATCACTGAGCACCCTGACTCTGAACCCAGAACCAGTGAAAGAAACACACCCTGGATCTGAGAGCTGAGTCAGGGAAAAAAAACATTTTTTATCTTTGAACCCAAGACCAAAGAAACATGCCCTGACTCTGTCTGATACCAGTGTCAAAGAAACACACTTTGGCCCTGAAATCAGAGCCAGTGAAAGACATATGCCCTAAGATTAGAGTCAAAACGCTAAAAAGGCCAGTGAAAGAAACACAGTTTGGCCCTGAAATCAGAGCCATCTCTGCCCCTGACCAACAAAACTAACCAATCCCTGAGGAGGGAAAACTAACCAATCCCTCTTCTCCCTTGGGAAAACTCTGCCCCTAAGAAGCTCTATATAAGCCTCTCTGACAGAGGCAGCCACTCTCCTGGCCTCCTCCTTCCCAAATAAATCTCTCAGAAGAGTCTTGGGTGACTCATTCACCAGCATAGAATAGAAGAACCTGGCTGGGGCGTCCCTTGTGGTGGGGGAAGCTGAGCAAGACTGAACAGAACAGAAGAGCCTTGTTGGGACACCCCCTTAGAGGGGTTGAGCAAGGCTAAGCAGAAAAAGTAGTTAAGT